ACGAGTATATTAACACTTACTAATAAAGCAAAATGGGAGTAAGTAAGCAATGAAGGTGTCATCCTTTTATCCACTAGCACCAAACATTTATTTAGTTAAACCTAATGTTAAAGTACATTAGAAAATGATCAACCTCTCATTAGACTAAGATTAGTTATAGAAAAATAATAATCATCACCCCTAGTAACACTCCCAAACCATATTATTAATTTCCACTACCATCACAATGCACTATTCTCCCATGTCTGGCGCAACTCACCCATTTTTTTAATTATTCAAAAAATACAACACAAACATGTAATCAATTATGCAAACTTTGAAGGTGTGAATGTGACATATCAAATGTTCGTGGGAGATTAAATGATAATAGAGACGAACTGTAAATGTAAATTTAGATGTTCTGAATTAGAATCTTGACAATCTCTTGACACTAGACGACGAGAAATTTATTTTTCATAAATACCCTAATTTCGGCGTGAATACCATATTTTTGACTGGATCAGAAAGAAAATTAAGAGAGATATACGTAAATTAGTCTAAAAAATCTTACCGTTAAACCAAATAAAAAAATATAATATAATTTTGACTACCTTTGCAGCTAGAATAATAATGGGGGGGGGGGGGTTATGTAGAAATTTTCTTTTTTACACCATTGATAGTCTTTCATTATCACAAAAAATATAAAAATATAAAAAATAGTATTTTATATATTTTTAAAATTAAATTATACTTTTTAAAAAATTAAATTAAAATTATTTGAAATAATTCATAATGATTAATTATTAATAAAATTATAAAATATTTTTTTCACCGGTGATATATACCTAAAAAGATTATAATTTAACTTTTATATGATGCAATAGTCTTTCATCAAAGTAGTGTTATGTTTCTTAAATTTGTATCTTAAATCAAGAAAAATCATTAGATCAATGCATCTCCTCAACTTTTTTAAATAAGATCTACTGATCCAATAATCTTCCTTAATAAATTTGGATACATGTCATTACTCATCCTCAAATACCTAAAACACACCGATCAAGAAAAACGCTGTTTTGAATCATCAAATCTATAAATAAACATTCAGAATCTTAGAGAGAGAAAGTAGTAATAAACAACTAAACCAGTGTAGTGGTGGTTTAGAGCTTAGCTGGATTGGGCGGAAATAACGGCGGTCAAACCCTCCACCGGACATGCCTCTCCATTTTTCTCTCTCTCTCTCTCCAGTCCAGTGTCAGGCCCAACCCAACCAGGCCTAGCCACGGGTCCTCTCTCCCATAGGTCCTGGTCAGGCTCAACCCCGGCTCGTCTGGGTCCAGCCTTCCATTAAAAGCGCTTTTCCATTTCCGGCGACAATAGTGTCAAAGATCAGACTCTCTCGGAGCATGAGACCAAAACCCCTTGATTCGTTAGAAATGTCAGCGTTATATATAAAGCGTAATGTTAGATAAATTTAAAAATTAAATTTAATAATTTTAATTATTAAATAAATAACGAGTCTTAATAAATATTAAAATTTACAATAAAATTAATAATTAAAATTATCAAGTTTAATTTTTAAATACATGTAACATCATTATATATATAAATATTTAGTCTGTATGTATGTATACGTGGGTAAACAAAAAGCCCCTTTGAATCTCGCTTTCTAGCCGTAGTAGCTTTGTTGGTGACAGTGATGGATAGCTATATTCTTGACTAGCCAGCCCACTTTCTCTCTCTACTACTATTATTCACTATTCTCTCTCTCTCTCACAAACTGTAGTTTTGTCCAACTTTTTAGTTGAGTTCTTCAAACTCTCCTCCGTCAACAGAAGAAACTGAAAGCACAAGTAGTGCACAGAGAGAGAGGGTGGGTAGAGAGAGAGATTGGTTGTGAAGAATCAAGAAGTAAAGAATAGTACAATAGGTTGCGGGAATAGGATCAAAGTTTGTTGTGAGTCAGGTAAGAACAATAGTATTGGAGAGAGAAAATGTTTGTACGTGTATCCCAAGAATCCCCAATTTCACTGCATGATTGCGTACACAGGCATTAACACAAATATGTTATGTGCATCAAGAACATGAAAATTCAAGGGAGGTAGTCATGGTGGATCAGCGTAGAAGGGTAGTGTTTTCTGTGGGCTTTGTTCTTTCTACTGTTTAACTCTAGTCTTGAACAATTGAATGTGCCATTGAGTTCGCGGGTGGAGAGATTGGCTTTGCTTCAACTGAGATCATCATTAGGTTTGAGAGCAAAAGAGTGGCCTATAAAGGCTGACCCTTGCTTCAACTGGACTGGTATACAATGCCAGAACGGTAGAGTCATTGGGATCAACATTTCTGGGTTTCAACGTACACGAATTGGTAGTCAAAATCCTCAATTCTCAGTCGATGCTCTTTCAAATTTCACTTTTTACAGTTCTTTAATGCTTCTAGATTTGCTCTTCCCGGTTCAATTCCTGAATGGTTTGGAATTAGGCTTGTTTCACTCCAACTGCTTGATCTTCGCAATTGTGCAATTATCAGTGAAATACCTTCTAGTCTTGGAAATTTAACTAATCTTACTGCTTTGTATTTGTCCGATAATAGTCTTACTGGGATAATTCCTTTAGTTTGGGTCAGTTGTCTCGCCTTTCAGTTCTTGATCTCTCTCAAAACTCGCTTGCTGGATCCATTCCTTCCTCCTTCGCCTTTCTTGGAAATCTTACTTTACTTGACATGTCTTCGAATTTCTTGTCCGGGACTATTCCTCCGACGATTGGGACATTGTCAAAGCTTCAGTTCTTGAATCTTTCTGTGAATAACTTGTCTTCTTCGATGCCACCACAACTCGGCGACCTTTCTAATTTGGTTGACATTGATCTTAGCTCCAATTTTTTGTCTGGGTCAGTGCCGTCCGATTTGAGAGGGTTAAGGAATTTGCAGAAAATGATAATTGGGAACAATTTACTCGCAGGCGCATTGCCAGGTAATTTGTTTCTTCCTTTGTCTCAGTTGCAGTTTGTAGTTCTGAGTCACAATGGTTTCACTGGTGATCTTCCTGATATATTGTGGTCAATGCCTGAATTGCGATTTCTTGATGCCTCTGCCAATAATCTCACCGGTACACTGCCTAATCTTAGTTCGAATGCTAATACCACCACTGCAGTCTTTAACCTCTCCCAGAATATGTTTTATGGAGATCTTACATCCATAATCAGTAGGTTCAGTTTTATCGATCTGTCTGGGAATTATTTCCAAGGTAAGGTTCCGGATTATGCTCGTAGTAATGCGTCCCTGACTGAAAATTGCCTCCAAAGTGTGTCAAGTCAGAGGACTGCGGCGGAATGTGCATCATTCTATGCTGCAAAGGGCCTGACATTTGATAATTTTGGACAGCCAAATGCCACCCAACCTCCACCTTCCCCTCCCAAATCCAACAAGAAGAACCGCCGAACCTTAATCATATTGGCAGGAGTTCTGGGGGGTCTCGGATTCATTGCCCTGGTGGTAGTTGTGCTGGTAGTGGTGATTATCTGCAGCCGTAAGAGGAGAGCAGCCACCCAAAGAGGTATCGGTGTGGGAGCCGTTCCAACTGGTGGAAGTCCACCTCTTCCTGGAGTTTCTTTGAACTTTTCAAGTCTGGGGGAAGCATTTACATATCAGCAGATTCTCCAAGCCACGGGCGACTTCAGTGATACAAACTTCATTAAACATGGTCATTCTGGTGATCTCTTCCGGGGTATCCTTGAAGGTGGGATTCCTGTAGTCATTAAAAGAATTAGTTTGCATTCCGTGAAAAAGGAAGCACACATGTTAGAGTTGGACTTTTTCAGCAAGGTTTCTATTCCTAGATTGGTATCTCTCGTGGGACATTGTTTGGAGATTGAGAACGAGAAGTTTCTGATTTACAAATATATGCCCAATGGAGACTTGTCAAGTTCTTTGTTTAAGAAAAATAATTTGGCCGACGATCCTTTACAGTCATTGGATTGGATAACGAGACTAAAAATTGCAATAGGAGCTGCAGAGGGTCTGTCTTATCTACATCATGAATGTACTCCACCCCTTGTTCACAGGTACTCCAGCCTTTCCAGGAATTGCTTGTATTGCACTTCTCTTTCTTCTTGTTGCTGCCATTTTGTTCTTATCCCCACTGCTTTCTTATTACTCGTCACGTACTCTAATGAGCTGATTGTTGCAGAGAGATTTGCTAGTCGATGAATTCATTGAACTTCCTACTTTGTAAATTCAAATTCTTTCTATAAATTCATCTTATAAACATCCTTCTCTTATTCGTAATGGGCTAAGCAGCACCAACTATTCCTGAGCAGCGTACAATGCTTTTCACAACCCTTACCCAACACGTGTTGACGTGTTGGACACACACATAGTCTATCAGGAAAGAGCTTTTGACATTGCAATTTGCACACATGGGCGACAAATGTCAAGCAATAAGGGGACACTGCCTAACATAGAATAGAAGTGTAAATATTGCTAACTGGTCGCTGTTATGCAGTGTTAGTCTACAAATTCTGGCTGTTAACTTGGGATGAGCTGAGAAGCACAGAGACTCAAAGAAGCCCTATCCTTGACGTCTGACAACATTTCAGATTTGTTGGACATGCTACCAACACTTCTTGGAAACTCACACGTAACTGAAAACTTTGGGTGTTAAGATATACAAATTTTGGTATGCGAAAGAAGTATAAAATGACAAGTGTTCCAAGGAATTAAAGTTTAGGTTTTGTCACTACACATGGAAGGAAAGATTTTATGTGGTTCCCAAATTTATTTAAGCATTCTTTCCACCTGCTAGATTTATGAAATGCTCCAATTACCTTGGAAGCATCTTTCCTTAAAGTGTTCTCTCCTCTTATTTTGTTCTATTATGTTTTATTAATTCTGAAACATATTTTTCGGCGGAATTCATATTCTAGCCAACTATTTCTAATTCTTTGATATGGGTTTTACTGAGGTTACTCTGTTATATTATCTTGAACTGCTCGCCTAAAGGAATCAATTTTTACCTGAATCTTCAGTTCAGGAATCCAAAGAGAGTTTCCACTTTTTGTTGACAGTTTTTAACCACTCGTGTAGCCGTGTCGTCACCTTCTACCCAACTAGTGGAAAAGTATTCACCATTTTCTTTGTCTGTTAAGCCTCACAGCTATGGGACTTTCTAAAGAAAACAAAAGTTTCTTGGTTGCGGTTTCAATTTCTGTGGAGATGATTGTGAAATTTGGAGTTACTAAAAAGTAATGAAAAGTGGTCTTAGGAAAATATATAGAGATGCAGAGAAATTCATGAGGTCAGAAAAACATGGGAATAAATTGATGACTTTTTATCTTCGTAATTTTTTCTGTTGTTTCTTCCTTATTGATGTATTTTAATTGACGTTAGGTCGATTGTACTTATGTTTAGGAAATGTAGTGAGTTTTTTCATCAATTAGGCATTTTGAACTTGAGGAAGTTAGAGGGTTGGGTTATGTAGTTGGGTATATGAGTAGACCTTGTTGCCTGCTTCGTAATTTGGCACAACACCAGAAAGGCTTGTTTAGATCCACTCAATGTATATTCTTCTTCCTCCACCCCCCTTAAGGGTCATTTAAGAGGTATAAGGTAGGTGGTGCATGTATCAAACTTTGATTTAATTGTAAACCCTTCCTCTAGCCAGAGAGGGAGAGTTAAGAACAGTTTATTTCTATAATCAAACAATTTGAGCCAGCCAATGTATCTACAATATTGGAATTTTATTGATGTCTTCTCTGGGCTCTAACTCTTCTCTAGCTTGCTTTAGAAATATTGATGCCTAGTTTTCCAAGTACTAAGAGTGCATTTTTTTGGTTACTGAAGAGATGTTCAAGCCAGCAGCATACTTCTTGATGATAAATTTGAAGTGCGGTTAGGGAGCCTAAGTGAGGTCTGTGCACAAGAAGGGGACACTCATCAAAACAGAATTACCAGGTTGCTGCGGTTACCACAGTAAGTATTCCTCAGTTTTGCTGAGATTCATAAACTGTGGAAAACACGTTTCTTATAGATTTTTCAGACTTTGACCATGCTTTCAAAGTCCTAGAAGGGGTTCCTTTTGGTTGTCTGTTTAAAATAAAAACTCTAAAATTGTGACATGGTTTATTATTCCGTGTTATTCTTGCTTTCAAAAGAGCCATACTTAAAAATATGGCTCAATCAGAAACTTACAGCTGCAAACTGAGACTGTAAGAGCTGGCAAAAATGCCTTCAAATATGGAGGATGATGGAAAGTATTGAGAGAGCAGATAGAGAATGTGCAAGTATTATGTAGCACAGAAACTGCGAACTTGAAGATATGTTACTTATAATTTAGGATCTGATTGTTTCAAATAAAGGGCAGTTCAACATTTTTGAAAGATGCATTTAATGTGCAAGTGCGAATGAGTGTTAGTTTGGAATCATCCTTCAAACGTTCTTGTCACGGTGAAAACTACATTAAATGGCAGCATACTAGATTTGGATTTTGGAGTCATTTGTTATTTACCTTGTCTGACAAATGTACGATAAAGGTGACTTGGTGCAGATTGTTGCTCGCCAATATGGATTGAGCATTTATTAATTTATTATTTGTTAGAATTGACAACTTCATTTTCGGGCATCAACAACTTCATTTATTGGAATGACTTTTCTTTATATGGAATTGAATTGAAGCTAGGGCAGATGTCATTATGATGTTCTCAAATTGGAAGTATTATCCTGCAACTTATAGGTGTCTATTTGTTCTGTGCGTACTTTTGCTCTATTGCGTATTTAGTCATCAAAACTTTATCAACATTAAAATAACGGAGTGAAGATATCTATTTTAACTTTAAATAAAGTTACTGATTTTTCACATGTTTATGTTGCTTGAATTGAGGTTGTAACAAAAATCTTCTCTTCCTTATGTGCAGGACATCTGAACAAGGGTCTTCTGGTAAGTGCAATTTGGTTATTTTAATTTGCCATTGGTTTTTTCTTGTCTGCCAATAATAGGTGACTTATTGGACCTCATGTAGCCTTTTACTCTGCACATACTAGCACTTAAAAACAAGATAGCATGTAATTAAGCAACCAATATCACTGGGAAGCCTTCGTTGTCAGTGCTACCCCTATAGCTATAGAGAATCAGGATCTATGAGGTTACTTGTTTCTGTAATACAGATACTGTGTCTTGTTGGCATGGGACCTTATGGTGCACCCTGTTTTATATAAACTCATGCTTATAGATTGTCTGTTTTGACCTTTTTTATGGTTCTTACTTGAAAGCCTATTTATGGTGAACTGCCTTATATTCTTCAACAGATCGACCTGTTGCTTTTTCCATCTTAATATATTGTCATTGATTAAATTACTGGAAGGACAAAGTAAGTTTGGTACATAGAGCTGCTTGCCACTGTTGGAGGGCAAAAAACACGTCTGTATTGCATGAGAGACTCCAAAAACCAATACAAGTTTTCCCCTTACTGTCAATGTTCTCACATTGCCCACTTAACTAATCAAATGATTTTCACTTTGCTCCAACAACCGACATCCATTATGGTAATTTCCCATTCAAAACATAATGGATGTTAACTGGTGAGACAAAATGAAACCATTTGGGTTAGTAGAGGGGGAGGGGCAATGTGCTAAGTGTAATTCTTTCATTGAACATATTTAGGGAAAAGAGCAGATGGTTAAGAGATTTCCCATTGGAATTATGGCAAGTTGTAGCTGTAATTGTTTTGGGGGGTAAATTCACCTTTGTATGTTGTTATACTCAAATTGCTTGTCCTGTTTTTGTTTTGGACTTTGGACCTCAGTGCTTTTGCTACTTTTGTGAATTGATGAGCTCTCCCCCATTTTTTATTTGGTTTTCCGTTATTGGTTGACACAAAAAATGGTTATAAACTCATTTGTTAATTCTGACCAATTGAGATCCAGCCGCGGCTGACCATGAAGTTTGAAGGTTGAAAGTATTTAAATCACTTAGACCCCTAAATTTAGAACTTACTTCAATGTTCTTGTTGTTTCTAAATTTTCTTTCTCATTTGGAAATGGACAGGTACACCTACTGCGGCATGTGCCTATGATGTTTACTGCTTTGGGAAGGTGTTGCTCGAGCTGGTAACAGGCAAGCTGGGTATAAGTGCATCCAGTGATGCCACCATGAAGGATTGGTTGGAAGCGACGCTACCCTACATTAGTATATATGACAAGGAACTCGTGACAAATATTGTTGACCCATCTCTAGTCATATATGAAGATTTATTAGAGGAAGTTTGGGCCATCGCTGTTGTTGCCAGGTCTTGCCTCAATCCCAAGCCTTCAAGGCGGCCCCTTATGAGATTTATCCTTAAAGCTTTAGAAAATCCATTGAAAGTAGTAAGGGAAGAACACACTAGTTCTGCAAGGCTGAGAACTACTTCCTCTAGAGGGTCTTGGAATGCTGCTCTGTTTGGTAGCTGGCGTCAAAGCTCGTCAGATGTAGCGGCCGTTTCTGAAGCCCCGACTAACAAAGCGGAAGGTGGGATTAGCTTTATACGGTCAGGAACCACGGGTTCTCAAGAAAGTGGTCAAAATGGTGAAGGCGGTGGCCATTCATCCTCGACTCGATGGCAGTCCAAGGAGATTTTCCCCGAACCGCTGGATGAGCATGATGAAGAGGGCAAATGAGGACTAGAAAAGAGGTTTTTTGTTAATAACACAGCAGGCTTCCTATTTGAGTGCCTTGCTTGTTGGTGCCCCTGTATATTCTCCTCCATTTTGGAGTTCTGGGGTGGCAGAGCCATTTTTTGTTCGTTCTTGGTGTGTTCGACAGGCCCACTGAAGAGGAATGGATACTGAAATGTGGAGGAGATTCTTGTCGGCGATGCCCAATTGTTTATGGGTTTTTGATTTTAGGACTTCATGGAAACAGAGACAGAAGAGAATTGCCAGTGGTGGTTCTTGTTTCTTATTTGTTTGATGGCTTGTTTAAATTAAAAAAAAAAAAAAACAAGCTGCAATTTTTCTGTAATTGATCTTTATTGCTGGTCCTGTTGTGGAATGTATATTGTAGTGGTCCAAACCTCTTCCAAATTGGGAGGGAAAAAAAATAAGTGATTTTTTCTGTTCTGAATTGTTTCACAGTTTTGCAAGTTTCGGATAGAGTTAGGACTAAGGCTCACTCTCATCTCCTTCTCTCTAAACTGCTTAGCAAGAGACCTAGTAGCATTGAAGACCTATAAGCAAGCATACTTTGAAAGGTTTAGAATCAACATTACCCAAAAGACCTCCAGAATGAAGGTGGCAGAGGCAATTGAAAACTTTCCCAGAGTGCTCCGGGCACCAAAAAAGTGGAAGAACCAAGAAATTTACACAACGGGCCTACTTGAAACTGTTTTTTGTAGGTGATAAGTTGTGGTTTGAAATATTTCGCAAAAAAATCAGAGTTAAAATCTAAAAAATCAATAGAAAAATTCATAAAATTAACTTCTTGAATCAATCTAAATATATCTTTTCGGGTCTAACAAATTACTGCATAAGTTGGTAAAAAAAGTTAATGTCCAAACAGACATGCCTTATTTTACTCCAAAGCTTCTAAAAAATACAAATTTAAGCAAACAGACCCAATAGAGAGAAAACAAGACCGTATGTTATCGTTGTTGCTTAGAAGAAAATTCAAACTGTATTACTGTCAACTCATGGGGAACTGATTGCCCTCATCTGATTACCAGTCTTTGTCTAAATTGAGAGAATCAGAAATACAAAGAGCTTTTATGAACTTCTTTACACTCTCCAAAAAACAAATAGCAATTTTTTCTCCAACGATATGTGAAATTACCAGCATCCTGGTTTTCTGAAACTTCATGTGACTGCAGGACAAACCGAATTTCAAGACCTACCAGATACTAATTATGAGCTGCAACAGAATGTTCTACAACTGCATCCAAACCATTGTTGCTCATTTTTTTTTTCAGCTTTGACGCACCTTCCATTGACTTTTACTACCATCCTTCACAACCCTACAGCAACAAAATGAACAGTCAGGCAACCAGACGTATGCACCAAGCATTATTTTTGGCTCAGTCGCTGTCTTTATGGTCAGCTACCATAAGTGGCAATGGGTTTGCCGCTTGCACAGTTCCAACTACTCATTGCATTTGACAATAATAGGAATTTTTTAATGGAGCATACTAGCCACATAAAAGCATACAGAATAAGTCTACAGATTCAAGGCCATAAATAGATGTGTTAACAAACATGAAGTGAATGTAGAATATTCAGTAAATAAACAAGTTTCCTTTACACATCTTTCATTTGTTGCAGCAACTAAAGCAAGACATAAGTGTTTATATGCATATATGTACAGGTATAGAGAAATATGCAAGAGTTATTACGCTCTGTCATGTATGTAGTATGTAGAGTAAGTTCGTAGGGGCTGAAATGATTTTCAGGAAGATGTCATTTACATTATTCCAGTATGCTTCTTGCGGTGGCAAAACCAATTGGTGGCCCTTTGTGCATGCAGGAATAAGATGATCTCTGGTTCAGAAGCAACATTTGTGCCTTACAAAGCTCTAGAAATCAAGAACATCACTTGTGTGGGGATATACCCTAATCTTAGGTGCATTCCAGTAACTGGAGAGTTCTGGTAATTCAGAAGTCCATATCATTTCAAACCAATTCTGAGTAAAGGAGGTGAATCCTTGTAAGTTGACTAACAAAATATTAAAATTCCAAGATCTTACTAGGGAAATAATGTGCTATCGACTCGTCCAGCCAGAAATAGATTTTGGCACAAGCATGCTTCCATTTGAGGCCCTGTCCAACCTGCACAAAGGAAGTAGTTGGCATCAATCGAAAAACCCCTTCGTTTTGGGTGGGGGGAGAGAGAGAGATGGGCACTTTGAGATTTCTTCAACTGCTTTCACAACTTCTGAAGAACTTGTCTCAAGAACTTGACCTCCCAAAATGATCTCATCTAATATAGTATGCACCTGCAAAATCAATTACCAGACGAATCAAAGGCTTACCCATATGAATTGAAATTGTCGAACTAGACAGAAAGGTCCTCGACTTTTTGAGAAAACATGCATGTGTATATGCATAGAAGTAATCGAACTAGAGAGAAGTTCCTGTAATGTTTGGGAAAAACCCGTCGATCTGACAAGCACATATGCCTACACTGCATGTATGGAAGTCATCAAACCAGAATTCCTAGTAAAGACCTGTTAATTGGACTAAAAGCACTCGGCTAACACTGGGACAAAAAAAACTATCACCTCATCAGAGTTGGTGTAAAGCTTAAAAACACCACCATTGCAACTGGTGCAGTATGTGGATGTACCACAGGAGTGCGTAGTGAAATCACTATACCTTGCTTGGACCTAGAATAGAGTTTGGTGCCCAACTAAGCTCAATAGAGACAAGATTAAAGGTGTTCAACCTTATTCTTTCCACAGTGAAGAAGTTAACGTGTGATATTCATCATTGACAGCTACCTTAAACTAACTTTGATCTAGCAAACTCATAGTAAGCTTTGTAAAATTACAAATCAGTTAATCATCTTTGGTTAATTGGCCCTTCTATCTACTTCTGTCACAACATAAAAAAACTGGGATTATCTAATGGAATATTACCATGGGATTTCAGTCTGAAGGAACTCCTAATGATTCCACATTAAATCCCCCTCCATTACAAGTTTGTTAATGCATGCCCCTACTAATTTAACTTCAGAAGAAAGAGAAAGAGATATTGACCTTGTTGAAGTTGAACACTATGTCAAGCTCACACACATTACTGAAGCACTTGTCCAATATCTCCACGAAAACTGAAATTCAGAAGCATTTGTCTGATTCAATCTGAGAAACTAAGTACCTTAGAATATTATGGATATACATATTAGACTACAAGCAGAAATTTTGAAAAATAAAGAAACCACTGATTGAGCCATATTTATTTTTATTGTTTCAGCTGTTTTAATGGCAATGGGTCAATGAACTGATAGCTATAACCACGCATTTAACATTAAAGGCTACATCAGGTTAAGCAACTGAATGATTAACTAGAAGATGAGGCTTTGATGTACCTTGCACAAGATCTAGCATTGCAAGCTCATTTTCAGAGCTGTCAAATATGAAGACAAAATACAGTGTGGCATATGTCTTGTATACAAGTCGAGCATCCTGCAAGTGTGAAGACCATACCAATGTGAAGTTCTCTAGCACTTCAAACCGAGGAATGTTAAGAATAAATTGTGAAACACAATCACCACCAATACCAAAGAGGTCAGCAATTTATAGGTCGACTCATAAATCATTCGAATTTAGTATCAGAGACGAAGCTAATTTGGAGGCCCTGATTGGAATGTAGTTCTTCCCAAGAAGAGAATTTTCAAATTGGGCGGTCAAACTAAATCAATTTTCAATTCAGTGTAAAAAGAAGAACAGACCATTGTTTCTTGCATAACATGTCACGGCTATCGCTCTTATTGGCCAATAACTTACATAAATATAGAGCACATGAGAGAAGAAAACAGCATTTGTTGTATTGTAAATCAGATGTTACCGTGTTTTCCAATTATATAAAATTGACAGAGCAACAAAAATGTTTCAAAGTAACAAAAGGGTGTATAGAAGCTGTGATCACGGGTCAAAGTGTGAGTTTCTCTTTCTCAATTCTCAGCCATAAAGAAGTCAATGGAGGATCAACAGCAGGTTTTCTAAGACAGATACAAAGAATAGGTAAAGCTATTCTCATTCTGAATTTCCAGAAAGAGAATTTGAGCATTGATTAACCGAAGATGTAGTGTTTAGTGAAAGGAAATATATTACAAATTCAGACTTTAACAATAGCCGCACAGTAGTAAAAAATGATATATTTTTTATAAACAATTCCTGTTGCTATTCAAACAGCTCACATTTACTAAACATTGCCATTTATGAGCTTCGTAATTCATATCTGAACAAGAAAGAATTTCAAGAGGAAGGTCGAATGAGAAGAACAAACATACTGGTCCAAAAATCGAATCAGCCTGAATGAAGTTGCTCAGATTCTCAGCTCTACTGCATAGAACTGTAGTAAAAGGAAGTAACAAAAATTCATTCGACCACAAAAAACAATGAATTACCTGTATAACAATTTTTTTTCCCTGAATCAAATAAAAAAACAAGTGAAAAATACTCTCAACACTCCAAGATCAGACTTAAACTCCAATTAAGAAGAATGCAGAATACATGACTCCCCTAATCTCAATTAACAAAATCAACATCGGAATAAAAACCGACAGAATGATAAGATGAGAAAGTTAGATAACATAATTTGTGCTTAATTGAGACACAATGCAAGCCCTAGATTCATGGCAAAAAAAATTGAGCTATGCAACTGAAAGTAATATACATTTATAAGCAAGTATAACCACAAGTTGACCAATGAAACACCCTCATTATATACCACAAAACATGTAAAGAAGTACAAAATTGCAGTGCAAGAGATGAGCTGAGAGAAAAAGTCTCAAGGTGACCTCCATATATGGTACGAATGAGCTCCTGCTGCTTCTCCACAGGCTAACCTTACAATTCATATCACAACCGAATCAACAACAAAAACAAAAGAAATCGAAAAGTTAAAACAAGATTTTTAGGTTTAGTTTCTTTCGTTTTCGCGGGAACCAAACGGAGGGTAGGGTTAGAGAAATTCTAGTGACCTGATAGTCGTAAAATTTGACGAGACGAGGCTTGCCTTGATCGTTCATCACTATCACCGCTCGTATCATTCTGAGATCTCCGTCCGGTCTTCCCACTCCTTGCAGAGTTTCTGCGAGTCTTGTGCCCTCTATGATGACGAAGACAGGTCATGGCGACTGTGACTAACGACGCGCGTTTTTGCGAGAATAGTTGTTTCTGAGACCAAGTATATTCTTGTTTTACCCCAAATATTTTCTAGAATGTTACTTTCGCCCCAAAATTCTCTCTCTCTCTCTCTCCACAGCCTGTACAAGTATTCTCCTCCTCCCAGCTCCCGCAACTCTATCCATATTTTCTCCATTGGAAATGTTATAATGCCAATTCCGACTTCATCAGCACTCCAAGCAACTCTCTCTCCTCCACCTCTGAGACTGCCCTCACCTAACTTCATCCACCTCTCCATTACCACCTCCAAACCCTCCCGTCTCTTCACCATCTCCTCCTCCTCTCTCCCTCCCCGAACTGTTCAAAACCCAGAAATCACCACCACCACAAACACATTAAATAATGAAGATGTAACCCTCCGAAAACACAACTCCAAATCCACCGCCCTCCTCCTCCGCCACCTCTCACACCCACAACACCCAAACCCAAAGCTCCAACAAGTAGAACAAGAAGAGCAAGAACACCCAATACCAGAAGAGGACAAATTGAAGCAACCAATACCAGAAGAGGACAAAGTGAAGCTTCTTGAAATGTCACTCATAACAAAAAGGACCCCTCAATTTCCGGGTTCCATCTACGTGCAATCACCAAGCGACCCAGATGTGAGCAGTTCTTTGCCGCCTCTACAGAGACTGTTTGATAGCAAATGCAAGGATGGTGATGATGATGAGATGATAATGAAAGCGCTTAAGATTCGGCGGAACGTGACTCTGGAGATTTTCAAGGAAGCAATGAGAAAGGGGAAGTTTGGGATCACTTACTATACCAATTTGGCTTCAAAGTTATCTGATTTTATTGACTATGTTATGATTCAAGCTGCTTCAATGAAACGATTGCCTGAATTTTCACAATCATCCTTCAATGTTCGCGCCAAAACCTTCATAGATAACTCTAATGTTGTCCCACTCATCAGGTACCAAGACTATATCCCCTGGAAATTTGTTCTTCAGGTTGATTTCGGGTTAATAACTGTTTTGGTGTTTAATGTTGTGTACTTATGGTGTACTCTCTAAAAATCTCTGTGCTATTCTAAGAGAATATCACAAGTAATCATCTCTGTGCTATTCTAAGAGAATATCATAAGTAATCATGAATTTTTCATAAGCAAATAAAAAAAAATCAGAAACATTTCAATGTCATTTATATACTTTCCGGAAGAATGAACAAGAAGGGATGAATCACAATAAAGCTTATTAGCTGGGTTATGATTACTGAATTCTATAGGTGGTTGAAACACAATGGATTATCTTATCCCCAGATTGGGAAGCTGATATGCATGTCAAGAGGAAATCTTGATTCAATAAGGCATACTGCTGAATGGTTGAAGTCAATTCATGTGACTGGGAGATTTATTGGGGTTGCATTGACAAAAGCAGGAGAAAATGCATTGAAGCGCGGCATTGGTGAGTTGGATGAGATTGTTGGGTATCTAGAGAGCAATGGAGTCAGGAGGAACTGGATGGGTTATGTTGTGAGCCGATGTCCTGAATTGTTGTCTTTAAGCATGGAAGAATTGAAATCTCGCTCAGAGTTTTATCTTGAGATGGGTATGGATGAGAAGGATTTTGGGACGATGGTTTTTGACTGTCCTAAGGTGCTCGGTTACCTTTCTATGGAAGAGATGAACCAAAAGGTAGTCGACTAAATTCTGTACTCTCTATCTATCTTTTGTTTGATTTTGTTTATGTTCTAGGGAATGGTCTCATCATATTATAAAGTAGCTGGAGATAGATATATATCGTAGTCACTTAACCAATACTGATATTGCAAACGATGTCTTTGTTCATCCAGGTTACTTATCTCAAGGACTTTGGTCTCAGCAATGAAGATTTGGGAAGATTACTGGCTTTTAGGCCACAATTGATGGCTTGTAGCATTGAAGACAGCTGGAAGCCTCTTGTTAAGTATCTATACTACCTTGGTATATCCCGAGATGGTATGAGGAGAATTATAACTATAAAACCAATGGTTTTCTGTTTTGATTTGGAGAGCACCATTGTGCCGAAGGTATGCCTTTGCTTCTTACACTGTGGAAATTGTAGTGCAATTGAACTCCATTATAAGTAGGAGATATCTTGCAACATAACTAACTGTAGTCTACAAGAGATTTTCTCTCAATTGTTTTATGCTAAAAAGACTTGAGCCCTTGAAGTCAAATTGAGAGTCTAAAGAAATACCGCCGAGCCTACTAGGCTGGTAATATATTGTAGTCAGTTCAAACAATCTCAAGCTGTAATGGTTGGAGGGTGTTCTTCCCTCTCTCAGTACCTTGCTCTGTTTTTCGCCTAACTATATAAAATAAGTTTTTGTCAAGTTCTCTATTTTTGGTACTGGTAATAATTTTTTCCTCTATGTGAAGGTACAATTTTTACGGGCCATAGGTGTTCAAGAAGATGCCATCGGCAATATGCTTGTCAAGTTTCCTCCATTACTAACGTACAGCCTCCACAAAAAAATACGCCCAGTGGTTTGTCCCTCTTCTTCTTTTTCTTCTCCTTCATTTTCTTTTGTGTCATCTCATTTTAAAATGTTCTATTTGTTGACATAGCAAAGTATCAATCATCATGAGGAAAGAGCTTGGAAGTAAATAAAATCTAACTTTTGGATACTTTAGATGTTGAAGTTTGCCATTGTATCAGGATAGTGTAGCCTGTAAGACTTACTTACGGCTTATGCCGCTTATCCCTAGTGCTCAAATAATATTGCTTGTTTTTCGATTTTAGCCCAAATTAATTAACAATTCACCCTTTTTTATTTGATTTCATTTTTTTTATTCGACGATCCACTCTTTTCGTGCGAGATATATACATTTTATTCAGTGCCATTCCCTTGGTGGCCTATTTTTTATTCAATCTCACTCTCTTTGACGTAATGCTGTCTTTGGTTGCTGCTAATTACTGACAGCTCTACATTGATAGATCAGTATCATGATATCAGATAAATAATAGTGCAAAGAAGGGTCAATTGATGTCCTGACTATTATACTGTCCAGGCTTCATAATCTATGTATCAAAGGAAACTTGATTAATCACATTTCATGAAGAACAATATAACAACTTTTGCTGCTTCTAGTGTAACTCTAGTTAGCCATAACCTATTCGCAAACTAAATTGGGTTTCCTGCAGGTCGTATTCTTGTTGACAAAAGCTGGAGTCTTCCGAAAGGATATTGGGAAGGTGATAGCTTCAGGACCAGAGCTCTTGGGATGCAGCATAGCAAATAAACTTGATCCCAATGTGAAATATTTTTTGTCTCTTGGCATACCTCTTCGACTTTTGGGTGAGATGATTGCCAATTTCCCCATGCTACTCCGGTACAATATAGATCTCCTTCGTCCCAAGTATCAATATCTGCGGAGAACAATGGTCCGCCCTTTATTGGATCTCATTGAGTTTCCAAGGTGAACAACATCACTGAGAGCCATGTTCATCAAGTTTATACTGACAACATACAACTCTTGCTCGAAATCAGTACATGGGTCTTGTTAACTTGTCGTTAGAAGGCATGATTGAATTGAATTAGAACAAGTTCCAATGGAATGAGCTTAGAGGCTTATATAATCTCCGGGTGAAGATAACATGCTGTTCAGTATGAAAGGAATGTTAATCATGGAGATAATTTTACGTGCAGAAATAAGAGGGAAAAAAAAAATCTTTTGAATCTGCTGGTATACCTCCAAGACTGACGGTAATATGATCATTTGCAGGTTTTTCAGTTATTCTCTTGATGGCCGAATAATCCCAAGGCACAAGGTCCTGGTGGAGAACAGGATAAATTTCAAGCTGCGGTACATGTTGGCAAGCACAGATGAAGAATTTGATCAGAGGGTCAAGGCTGCAGTGGAAAAGCGTCAAAGATTTGAATCTGGTATCATGGATGAATCCCTGTCAGATTCTCAAATTGATAGCTCCATAAAGGGAACACAATTGAGTTCATCTGAAGAGAAGGATACTCAAGATCTTGTGTGTTCATAATAATGTATGAGGTAATGGTACTTCAACAATGTGTGGTGCATATTGCATATCATTGTACATATCGATGTCAATTCTAATCTTTCTTTCTCATTATGCTTGCTCTTGGCTGAACTTTGGTGTTAATTTTTTTTTTCCATACACTGGCTGGTATATATTGGACTTGAAGACAGTATAACTATTGGAGGAAGGGAGAGGACAAAATGAAACCTGCAAAAAGATGCAGTCTCCACCGGAGGGCAGGAGAGAGAGACATTCAATATTAACTACCTCGATAAAGGTTGCAATTATGAAAGTATTTAAGCAAATAACTCTGCCTGTTTGGCAACAAAAGCACAAGGTGGCCATTTTACCCATTAAAAGGATGTACTGGAATTGCCTACAAAATTGTCACTGTAATGCTGAAACACTATTAGATTGTAACAAAGAAACTTTAAGTAGCTGTCTTCAGCTTGGGAGCTGCAGAATTGGAGTAGACAGGGTGTAGCACATGCCCTTCCTTGGGGATGACATGCACCCACTTGCGTCCGCTAAGCTTGTCACGTTCAAACTTGACACACCCTTCTTTCAAAGCAAATAGGGTGTGATCCTTCCCAATTCCAACATAATCTCCTGGATGAAAACGGGTGCCCCTTTGACGAACAATAATGTTCCCTGTTATCACTCTCTGCCCAATATAAAAAAGGTGTCCGTCAGTAAATTATGTTTCAGCCGGTAACTGATATTCAAGGATAAAAATGCTGTTTCAGTGAATAATTTTCATCAGCTTAGAAACAGAAATATTTTGGTAACGGAGAACAGAATGAAAACAGAACAAAAATTGAAACTTCGATTCCAAATCATCCCGAACATCAAGCTGTCTTTTTGAACCTTCTACATAATATCCCTCATCATCATACACATTTTCCCAGTTTTTATTGAAGCTAAAAAGTAACATCATCTCACCTCTCCACCAAACTTCTTCACCCCAAGATTCTTTGGTTTGGAGTCCCGACCGTTCTTTGTGGATCCTGCAGTCTTTTTGGTAGCCCAGCGCCTGAACATCAAGCTGAAACCACCTCCAGATACATCTACATATGGAAACATTGTTAGATCCAACAAACATACACCATCAACATGGAATACAAATGGTACTAGTCTTGACAAATTAGTTTGAAGATTATACCACTAGCAGTGCTGTAAACAGGAACACTGGTAACCAGCTCGCGAAGATTCAGTCTTCTACCCAGGGATATAGCAAAATTCATCATGTTGTATGTTGAATGAGAAGATAAAGCCTGAAAGCAATTACCATGTAGATTACGAAAAATCAGGTGACTATACAGTGATTAACAGAATTCTGTTACCCAAACTGAACCAGCCAGTTGATCTGAGGCAACCAATGGCTCTTCTTCGTCACGACATAGGTAAACTTTGGCAAAATGTTATTGCACCATAACAAACACACCAAAATGACATGCAGATTCTAGAGTCATACCGACTGTTAACTTGTACATGCCCCAAGCATATAGACCAAGTTAATGTAACTCAGTCCTATACAAAATCTATATAATATTACAGTTAGTAAATTGAATTGTTCAACTTATAAAAGCACAATAACAATCAAGATTGATCTAATTTTTATCTACTTTAATCCAATGGTACAAAATTCACCCCAAAATTTTTTTTCCCGTTCAAAAAGATCATCTTTTCTGCACGACCCACAATATCAAATAACTCAACCAACACACTCTCCAATGTCAGACAGCTCCACTAATCCACACCACCCTCTCATTTTCACTCTGTTGACTTTAATTTTAAATTGCATAGTTAAACTGCTATTTATAATATAAATGATGCACAATTAATGTTCAATTTTTAGTATTGTAGCATAGGGTTATTACTAGTTATACAAAATTACAGCACGAATAAGATCTGTGAAGAGCAATACACACTCACACTCACACTCACACACACAAAAACACCCATGTATGTATATATTGCCTGTTTTGTATACAATCAGGCAATGTGTTTGTAATTGCATTTTTCAATTGGTACTATTAGTGTTCATAATTATTTAAGGCGCCAGGCATATGTTGTAGATAACATTCAAATAAGTTTTCCTTCAATGAAAATGGTAAATAATTGCAGTAATGTGATTACTTGAATATTAAGCAAACAATTACATTATTGCATCAATGTCATATTGAATCAATTAAGGAATAACAAATCAAACTATAAAGAGTAGTTCAGCAATTAAGCAACTAAGCAAAGCAATTACAAAAATTAAGTAATCAAACATAGCCAAAAAGAAAGATGGGATTTTGGACAGCCGTTTGCCAATTGCCACAGCCCAGTTAGAGGAAAAATAAAAATTAAAAAAAAATGATTTTGCTGTCTACCCAGGACTCAATTGGTGTGTATAAGAAGCAAAAGAGAGAAGGAGAAAGTTTGATACTTTTACAACATATAAAAATAGTCCGCCATTTCCCAGGCCCAAATGCTATTTCTGTATGCGAATCCCAAATGTTTGATAAAATGCCAAAGAGAAGAAAGAAAGGGAGGAAGGAGAAAAAATAAGGGGAAAAGAAAGAGTGGCGGAGGTCGATTAAGTACAGCAACCGACCAGAAGAAGAAGAAGAGAGCAGCACAACTCCGATCACCGACTGGAAAACAAAATAAAGAATAATAAAAGAAAAAACGGAAAAGAAAAACCTCGGATCTTCGCCGGAATCTACAAATCGGCAAAGAAGACTTAGTAAACACAGTGAATCTGTATGCTTGATTTTACCGTTCTGTTACAGCTTTAGGGGAAATCCTGCGTTTTATTTAGGTGGCGGTTGATAATCGCCTGTTTTTGTTTTTATTTTTATTTTTGTTTTTATTTTATGATTAAAAAAAAAAATTGTTTGGCAAATGTTTTTGTTTTTTTTAAACTTCTCCGTTTTAAAGATAAGATTAATATATGAAAATATCCAAAAATATATTTTTAAAAATATCAAAAAAAAAAAATACACCCAATATTTAATGAGGTTTGGACTTTGAATCTCCTTAACAAAAAAAAAATGTCATCTCTCTTTTAAGTTTCACCCCCTCTCCCTCTCTATGCCAATGACAAAGTCGAAGCCATCGCCATCTCCAATCGCTGCGAAGCCATTACTCTATCTCCAAAGTCAATTCATCTTCATTTCACTCCATTTTTTCAAGTCTTTGGTCTCTCTCAACTCACTCACTCTGTCTCTCTTTCCCTTTCTAGGGGGTTTTTGGAGTTGGGTGATTGGTTTTGCTAGGGAGTTTTTGGGGTGGATAGTGAGTTTCAATGGTTGTGGTAGAGGTGAGTAGTGAGTTTTGATGGTTGTGGTGGGAGGGGTGGGTTGTGGATTTCATTGGTGGGGGTTAAATTTGGGGTTAGGTTTCAGTGATTGTTGTGGTGATTTCAGTAGTTGTGGTGATGGATTTCAATAATGGGGTTTCGGTGGTGGTGAGGGTGGGTTTCGGTGGTTGTGGTGGTGGGGTGAATTGTGGGTTTCGGTGGTTGGATTTGGTGGTAATTTTGGGTGATCAGTGGGGTTGGGCGGTAAAGTTTTGGTGGTTAATTTTTGGTATAATACCAAATAGATTTTTTATTTTTGTTTTCATAATTTTTTAAATATAAACGACTATCAAACATGTTTTATATTTTTAATTTTTATCACATAAAAAAATAAAACTTAGTTCTATTTTTTTTATTAAAAAACATAAAAACAAAAATATTACCAAACGCACCCAATATTTAATCTGATCTGAATAATATTAAGTCTTGATTTCGGTAACGATGATAGATTGATCAACATCTTTTTTTGTGAACTATTATCCCATTACTATCCAATAATTGTGGTTACAATTGATAAGACTCAACCCCAATTTTTATTTTTTAATATTACAACTAAGAATATCCAACCCAACTTATATACATTTTAACTAATTTCTTTTTTCAATTCGGTAAAAAATAATAGTATCCACGCCGAAATTAAAAATTTTATGAATAATTTATCCTCATGGCTTGATCCAAAGGTATAAGAGTTTTGTTCCGGCTACAAAAAGATGTCTGCTTCGACTACAAATAATGGAGAAGAATTCCAAATTACACTTGTTATTTCAACTTCATTCATACACCAGTCAACCTTCATCACCGCTACTTTAGTGACCCAACAGAATGAATGCGACAACGTGATGCGCGCATATTTACTCACCAGAATAACTGAAAAAAAAGTCACGTACGCAGAATGATCTTCATAAATGTACCACAGACGGAATCATCTAATCTGCATTGTAATCGAACAAATGGTGCTCGAGCAAATTTTATGCTCAAGAACTGGTGTTTGATCAATAAAAGGATTGGTGTTTCATGATAAGCATTATGTTTCTATTTTGTTTTTGCCAAAAGGGTGGCCAATGTGGCGCAAAATCTACTCGAGACCAATGCGGCATATGGGGTTTCTCTTTATGAGACCAAGATCCACCTGCAAAAATCAAAACAAAATCATGTCAATCCAATCTATATCAAGGAGAAGAATGGTTCTTATAGAAACAGATAGCTATACCTTGTGTCCAAAGAGATCTCTGATGTTATCAATCCCATAGAGAATCATGGTTGGTCTAAAGCCAAAAACAGAAGAATCAATCAGCAATCTTGACAATGTTGGCGTTGTTTTTGAAAAGATGCAACGAATACACAACCAACCAACAAAATAGCAAGTACTAGCAAGTGTTACCTTTCAAGGGAAAGGCCCCAGGCAATAACGCGAACATCTTCTGGGAGTCCCATAGGGCGTAGCATTTCAGGTCTGAACATGCCAGAATTTCCAACTTCCACCCATTTCTTAAAGCCTTCATGATAGCTGACCAAATTCAAAAGCTTAATATCATGCTCAGTCCAAGGAAAGATACAACCTTTCTGACCAAAATTATGTTTATTACCTGAAAATTTCCATGCTGGGTTCAGTATATGGATTATAAGCAGGCTTGAAACGTAGCTTGGACATACCTGGAAACAATGAGAGGTAATATTAGAAGTTGCTCTAACCAGCTAAATAACCCTCCCTCTATCACAATCTTATTCTACCTCTGCAAGTAACAAAAACCATGATTTTATATTTTGGACAGTTTGAAAAGCAATCCGTTTAGAACTGAAAAGGCGTATAACCCAAAGGTTGAGCAGAAAGTAGATGTATTACCCAGGCGGGAAAAAAAGTCATGCAGAACTCCAATCAGGTCACCAAGGCTAAGGCCCCGATCACATATTAGGCCTGAAACCAGAAAGACAATCCACAAAGATTTATAATTGACAAGGATGACATGCACATAAACCAGTTTTATATCAGGGCAATTTTAGTCATCTCATAAAAGTTGGGCGACAAAACATACTTTACATAGCATTTACAGCTGAATTTATAACCTGAAGGGGCCAACAAATGAAAATGGAATATCACCAAAGCTCAACACATCTCTTTTAGGAGTAAATATTGAATGCAACAATGATACCATGTCACCGTTAATGACATGGTATCACCTACTAATAATAAAACTTCAAATAGGTAAGGTGAACCCCACTTGGGCTTACATGAAAGAAGAGTTGCTTACATGATAAGTTGGTTATTAATTTTTGTGGGGTCCATTTGCTTATTTGTTTTAATATTATTGGTAGGTGATACCACATTACATTGCCATGTGGTATAACCGTTCACATTGACAATGCATCCCTCATGTAAAATTGCCACGTAAGGAATATTTTCTCCTCTTTTAGGTCAACATGCATCCCTCATGTAACATTGCTTCACCATTCACATTGACAACTTCAGGTCCCCCATTAACTCAAAAAATCATTTTACTTATTCAGGGGTTGACACATAAACATGTACTATATCCATAGTATTATATTGAGAACAATGAAACAAGTCACTGTAAAAGGGGCATCCAAACTTGCCATTGTTGACTGCAGTCAGGTCAATCACTTATATAATTCAGTCAACATCACGTGCAATAAATCCAAAGTTTTTTTTATCATAGTCCAGACATGTTGTGTTGCTGCTTAAAAATCGGGTTGCTTTAGCGAACAAAGTGAGCATCCATGAGAATAGTAGAACTAACTTGACATTACTCAGAGTGTAACCAACGCAAGCAACACAAACCCAGATCCCACTAAAAACACGGATGGGGTCATATCCGGACATTGGGGTGATATCAGACAAAGGATCAACAAGGGACAGTTCTGCTGGCCTTTTATCACACCATGGTTCAATCTTGGCTTGATTCCAAACAGACACAGCATGAATAGAGTTGCAAGAAATGTAGCAGGCATATCTTTCATTCAAAATATGATACCTTCTAGCCAAACAAAGGAGGGGGGAAATGATACCTTCTATTTGGTGGAACTCTGCGAGATGCGTCCGATCTACGGCTTCGTTTCTGAAAACACGGTCTATTGAGTAGTACTTTTTAGGGGCAAAAGGTTTCTGCACAAAATAATAGTTCATTGATCAAACATCAAGAGAATGGAATGATTACAAAACGTCACATGTACGGGGAGAGATAGAGAGAAAGAGATGGCTTCCAAACGGACTAGTGTTGAATAAAGCAATATACAGTAGCACGTTATACCAACACTGTTGCAGGACTTACTAAAGTGTTTGATCTAGAATAAAAAACATGTTACATACTACAAACCAATCAAACCTGTGCAAGCAAATACAGCATCCTTGAGGAAACAGCAGTTGTATGAGTTCGCAGAAGGTTTTTGTTTGCTTCTTCTCTTTTCCAATCATATGCATACCTACAAGAAGCTCTCTTCTTTTCACATACATCTTGACATCGGCATCGAAGAAATAGAAAATAAAATATAAGTGATCACATACCCTCTAGACCCATAACCACCACATTCATGAACTTGCTTCACCCGCTCAACATAGTCTTCAGGCAGCACCTTAGTAGTGGAAGGCTCTATAGATATCTCGGAGATATGATCATCAGATGAAAATCAGATGCAGAAAATGCGAATTTCAAAATCAGGCCAAACAAACCTTGCAAAAAGAATGTATCATGTGAATCCCTTGCAGGATGTTGTTGAGGTTGGAAAAGTGCATCAAAATTCCAGAAGCTGAAAAGTTAAACAAAAATGGATTAGCATTTATCGTAGCTGCTATTTATGGCAAACAAATGCCAATCCACATGCATTTGACACCACAAACAAGAGGAAAATGTGGGGCCTGTTTGGATAGTATTTCAAAAACTGTTTTTTGTTCTCAAAACACTAAAAACAACACAAAATTGGTTTGGTTAGAGTTTTTATTTTTCAAATTTCAAAAAAAGTGGAAAATGAGATCTAATTTTAAAAAACAACTTGGGCTTGTTTTTGGGTGTTTTGGGGACAAAAGATGGGGAAATGGAAAACACAGAAACAGTTGGGCTTGTTAATGGCGTCTCCCCTTTGAACCTCCTTAGCAGCAAATCATGTTCTAATATAAAACGTTTTTTTCTTTTTTACCTTTCTCTCTCCCCGACTGTCTGTCTCTTCACCTTCGCTCTGAGACAGAACGAACACACACACATTCACATGGGGGCTTCAGATCAGTGTTTGATCTGGTTCAATCAGCGAGATCAACCAATCTTCAGATCTGATTTTTTAGTTCAGATCCGATCTAGTTCAAGGGGCATCAGATATATATATATATATATATATAGACACAGATATGTATTATATACTGAACAGAGTGAGAGACAGAGAGAGATTAACTGGATAGATTTAAAGGGATTGAACACGAGAGAGAGAGAGAGGGGGGGGACTAAACAGAAGGATTAAAGAGAGAGATGAGTGACTGTAGGAAGGGTTTACTAGCTTGATGATGGGAAAGCTCTCAGTTTAGTTCTAGTTGCAGGAAGATTTTTTTTTTTGATGTTTTTCAGTATTATTTTTTTTTAAAAAAAAAAAATTATTGGTGTTTGTATATTTTTTTTATTGAATCTATTTGATTTTATTTTAGATAAAGGTCATTGATATATTTTTTTATATTGATTTTATTTTGATAAAGATTATTAAATATATTTGGTTAATTTTAAAATTTGGTTTATTGAATTTTTTTTATGAAATTGTCAATTTAAAAATAACTTTCTTATATTTTTTTTATTAATTTTTTAATTATTGTTCAAACATATATTTACGCTGTCCATACGCTGTCCAAACAAGTTTTACTATTTTTTATTCTGTAAAATTATTTTTGAAATCATCTAATCAAAAAAGACTTTCATCTCAGAAAACATCAAAACACACTTTCTTATAACTCTTCTCAAAAACTATTTTCGGATACTATTTTCTGAGATGCAAACCAAGCAAGCCCGTGGTTTAGAATTTTTTCATATTCCCCTCCATATAAGCAGAAAGCAAAAAGAAAATGTGTAGGTACTTTTATCTATCTTAATCTGGCAGATTAAAGCAATCATAAACTTCCTGGCAATTGTTTGGATGCACCTCCACATTCAGCAAGCTATAGAAAGAAAATAGCTTCTTTTAGGTACCAATGTTATTTGAGTTTTAGTTCTTGAATACTAGTCTAATTGATGCTGAGATATTTGTGGAAAGCGTGTCACAGGTCATCTAAAATCCTTGTAGTTTTAGACAAGTGGAAGTTGTAATTTTCATGATGAGACTTAAAACTATAAAAAGCATTTACATGGGGTGCTTCTCGCTGCTTCTTGCCCACTTAAAGGAAAAGGGGGGAGGAAAAAGTTCTTTAATAAGAATACGTCATACCGATTGTTCCACCTCGTTATAGGCTTGTAAAGCAAAAACAAGCAGCAATAGAAAGTGTTTTCATGACTCAAGCATGCTATTTTAGCTTAAAAGCATTATTTGTTTATTAAAACCCTAGTGAATAATTGCAGAAAGCTACAGATTCTTATTACCTGTAATCAAAAGCTCCAACTTACATTTTCAAACATAACACAAGTAAGATGAGTGAGGGCAAGATCAGCTACCTGCTTTCAACATAATTGTTTGTTGGCATCTCCTCAAATCTGCACACATTGAGTGAACAAATCACATTCATGTCAACATAAGGGGAAAACATGTCCACTAAAACAAATGACTCTCTACACATATACATCATGAAAAAATTTTGATCATACCCCATCTGAAGAAAAATCATCTGAATTTGACGCCGTACCTACAACAAAGAGATATTTGGAAGCAATAATCAGTGAACTCACCTATTAATAGATAACAGATCAAATAAAAATATTAATATATGCATGATGAGCAATGATAAGAACATTTATAAGCATTTTATTTGTTCCACAAAGGCCACAGGCGCCACCAGATTATACGGCAGTTTCTCTACCGAATCAAAGAGCAGAGACCGTGGGGACCAAAAGGGCAGAGAATCCGCACAAGATTCTAAATGTTGCTTGCACATAAGGATCTATTCTTACCAAGGAAGAAAGCAAGTCATGGTCTCCTGGTTTGGATTTCTCAAAGTTCTGCCCACGATATCGTGGACACGATCATTACTCTTACTTCACCCTCAGCTCAATGACAATCTATGACATTAATGATCAGAATCGACCGGACTGGAATGAAATGGACACGCACATGTCATGGGAACTAACAAGGGGATCCACCAGGACCCATCTCCACCGAAGAGAGGTCTGTAAAGAGTGACATCCCAAAGTCTTAAGCAGTGGCATCCATGCGGTGAGCAAACCTGATGAATTTTCAAACTTTCCTTTTCACAAACTCTAGAGTCGAATATCCATGATTTGGCTGTGGATATCTTGACTCCTAACTCCGCAACCCCCTCTAGGGTACTCCTAACTAGACCTATCATATCTGCTCCATCATCACCTATATCATGCAAAATGGGCATAGCTTACAAATAATTATGGGTGGGAAATATTAATTGTTCATTATTGCAAATTCAATGGTTGACCCTAGAACTCCAGATTCTCCCCCCAGTACACAGTAGTCGCATCACCTTGGCAACACCAAAACCTATCTGCAATTTGTTTTAAACTGACCAATTGATTTTCCGGAAATTGATTCCACATGACAATCTTACAATTCCTTAACTCAAACACAGAGAAAGAAACGGAAATAAAGAAAAAGCAAAAACACATCCTTGCCTTGAGCAATGAAAGCAAAACATCAAACACAGAAAAACAAAAAGGAACCGAAGAAAAATAAAAACCATATCCTTGCCTTGAGCAATGGATGAAGATGACCGCCTTCAACAGGCTGGCCTTTAGCACTGAAGTTATATTCTTTAAACTCCAGCTCCTTCCAATCACCCCTGGAAAGCACGAGTCCAAGTATAACAATCAGCTACCAAGGTTCCACATTCCATTCACATTTAAAATTTGAACCACATAAGCAACTAAGCCATAGATGTTATGGCACTACTACCAAACTAATGAGACACACCTAAAGATTACATAATAGAATTAACACAATGTATGAACATGTTTCCAACAATAATCAAATATTTTAATCATTGAAATGCTTGGGCAATCCTATAACAGCCAGAAACACAATGTGCATTTATCTATACAACTGTTTAAAAAATCCAAACAGAAATGGTTGATGTGCCCTCGTATTGCATGCATGTTATGGAGCAATACAAGAAAAGGTGAAAAGATAATGGCTAGCACCATTTGAATTCAAGTGCACAAAATGATTTTTGCCCTTTTTAAGGGATAAATTGGATTGGAAAATGATTATTATATGATAACATCTCATAAAGGGAAAGCCATTGGATTTACTTGTGCTTATAAATGAAGTACACTTTTTAACAAGTACATCAGTCCACTGACTAATGGATTTACTTGTGTTTATAAATGAAGTACACATTTTAACAAGTACATCAGTCCACAGATTAATGCAGGATAAATAAGTAGACAAATGTCAGATGCGCTAGCAATTCAGTATCTAGCCTTAAAAATTGTTACAACACATGATTCATAATTCAGTGGTAATAATGTAAGTAAATACACTATACATGGAATTCTGCCTGAGTGTCCTACAATGAATACGGCTAATGTCACAAAATATAGATGATGTATTCAGATTACATTTAAATACAGATTCTATCCTAAACCACCACCTAGTCATCATTGCTTATACATATGCTACATTTGTATCAAGATACATAGATCAAGTGTGTAAGTTACCTTTGCAGATTCTCTCGGGTTAAATCAGTGGCGGCCTTTTTCCTTTTTGGAGTATACTTAGGACCTTTTCTTACTGAGTATCCTTTCCATATTCTAGAAAGAGAAATAAAAAGAGATGCATCCCCAATAAAAACAGCACATTAGCATATTTCGGAGGTATAACATAAAAACTTATGAGACTTAAGTGTAATCCCAACAAAATCAACGACTAATTTTATGAGATTAATTTTCAGCCAGATATCAGATACAAAAAGAAACTTCATAGAAACTCGAAAACAATAAGAAGATTAGTACTGTGGAGTAATAAGCTTTCTACGCTTGAGAGCATCAATATCTTCCTGATTGACGACCTGGAATCACAACATTTTAACTTAACATCAATGGAAGGAGTAAGTAAAAATGAACATGGTTTTCTATGGCAAAAAAAGTTGAAATCTATTTGAAGCTACTGAATTAGCTGAAGAAAATGGAACAGTTGACAAACCTACGCACCTCCTCATTTTGTAGCCTTATAAGCAAATCTTTAACTATGTCATCAACATGTTGAACCTGCATCAAGTGAACAGTATAAGGGGAAAAAAAGACTGCACAATTCATACAGCATCAAATATTGAACCAAATTTGTGAAGCCATCATAACACATTCCCTGGAAAGCAACATTTTTTCCAAGAAATGTAGGCAATGAACCACATTATTCACAATATAAGCACAATAGCAAACTGGTTTAAGCACCAAAGTTGATGAGATCAAATTGAAAAGGATTAAAAGCAAGGATAACTATCTAAAATTAACAAACACACATCGTGCAATTTAGGATAGCAAGAGTGTAAAACACTTCAATAGAAAAATAGCAAATCTAAGCCAATTAATCCCTTAGATTTTCCATCAGTTTTACCTTTCTGGACACTTGTGACTTTCCCATCTCCACCCATTTATTCTTTATGGCTTGCTGGCAACCTATTTTGTAAATTGAGGGGGGCAACTTTTTCTGCAATCCGAAAGATTGAATTCGTCAGCACATCTTCCAGCGATATCCAAATAACACTTACTCGTAAACAAATATTCTACAAACAAAGATCATCAGTCAGAATGGAAAAGTAGTATAAATTTTCCGATAGAAACCATTATCTTGAATTGTCTTTAGTTGTTTTCCATTGGACTATAATAATTGGAACAGCAAACACCTTCTTAAATAAGATACACTAAAGCTTCAAATCCCATTAACTTATATTGAATATAAATATTCCCTTATACATATAAGAATTTCATCATCAAAGCAAGAAGCTTGAGTTCTGAAGATTGTTTGACTTTCAATCAACCTACTATGCACAACCACCCAGGTCCCTTTGGGAAATCGATAAGAACAACCAATTCCAGAGTAGTTCGTCCACTTGCCTAGATGAAAAAAGTTGCTACTTCATACTTTACACCACAAAATATGAGCTGCTAGAGAATCCATATGAAAGGATTGATAACCTGTAGCTCTTCTCGTGAGATGCCCTCTGCTGGTATAGCCAACAACAATTGGACTTCAGGAGACCCTGTGGCAGCGTATGTTTTCCCCTCATTGGTGAGCACCCATCTCTCCCGCTTAATGTCCTACATTCATTCATAAACTCCATATTCAAACATTTGCAAAATTTAATCCTGAAGTAGAAAGAGTAAGACAGATGGAGAACATGACAGAAACAAGATTAATATGCTCTGAAATCTCATTAAAGTAAAACTCAAAACCACAAAAAGCCTATTCCAATCATTCGGGGACATCGTACAGGTCTTCCATTCAAAGAGAAACCATTACGAGTTCTTTTTTTTTCTTTTGCAATGTATTAAAAGAGCAAAAAAAAAAGAAAAAGAGCAAGGTGCCTTTGCTTTGCAATCAACTCCATCATATAGACTCATTTGAATTGTTTACTGAATTTTCATTTGCGGAATGTGAATATTACAATAGAGAATGACCATGAAAAGACTAAATCGAGAAATTTGCCAGCATTCAGAAAAAGTAAGACCTGAAATCTGGAAGGTGTGGTACTTAGAGACAGTCCGCTCAAATTAATACAAGCACTTAACCCGTTCATCTATGACTATGAGTTGAATCCATATAAATTGCTAAAACAACAAATAAATTACCCTATCAATTAGAATTTCTTGGTTTTTTTCCAAGTTTTCTCATCAATCAAACGGAAGATTGTGGAATCTCAGTTCAAAGACTCTTTATTCAATCTAGATGTCAATGATAAAGTAAGATAAGTGCATGACAAAACAAAAGGCTAAAGCACAATATACAAAACAAATATGCGTCTATGCAAAGATTTATACATGAACACAATTGTATATAATATCAATGAGAACCTGGGCATCGACGAGTCGAAAACCATTGAGGCTCTTAATAACGTTAACGATATCGTCGTGACTGAGTCCTTGTTCGGCGGCAAACTGACCCGAATCTGATATTTCCTCGTTCTTTTCAAGGAACCCTAGTACAGCGTCTTCCGCCATCTCTCTCTCTCTCTCTCTCTCTCTCTCTCTCTATACGGGCTTATGTGATTTGTGAATTTATACGCAATCGCCGTTGCTGTAACTCACTCTGACAAGCGATGGAGCAGATAGGTCGCCACTGTGAGGTGGTTTTACTTTTAGGGCTTACAGACAAATGCACTTGCCAAATCTATTTTTCCACTTACCACCCCAGAAGTTCTTCCATATTATACTCGCACCCGTTCTGTTTGTAAAACCATTAGCTATCCCCCAAGGTTTTCGTCCTCATTTTAAAAGTGTTCGAATGATGTGTACCTCAACTAATTATTTTTCCGGTATAGTCAAAGATAGGTGATCAACTGGGGTATTCATGAGACCTGATCTTAAAAGATTATCGAAATTAAAATTCAAGACATCTGAATTTACCTCTCGCCCGTATTACCACTAAAACTATTCTTGGCATTAGTATCTAGATTTCAAATTGTTATCAATTTAACCTTTTTATTAGGTGAAAAACAATGATCTCGAATGAAATTTAATTTGAATCCAACTTCATATGGAGTGGTTCATTTTACTACCAACCATGTCAACATTGACCCTTTCTCATGCCTGTTTAGGACTATTAAAATACTTGTCTTCTGTGTTAGGCCTATTAAAGCGTGATACCTGATATATAATGATAAGCTAGAATTTATATAATAAAGTAGAACAAAATTTGAATTTAAAAGATAAAGGGAGATTTAGATCGTTTTGAAATAAAACATAAACACATCCAACGGACAACGTAATCTCAACATAATTAGTCCTAAATTTCTTTCCCCGCCCATAAAAAAGTCTCTCAGCGTAAGACTTTATACTCCTATCTTTCATACGTCTCTATCTTAAATTTAAAAAAATATAATAACAACTCATATTACATTCATTTTAAATTAAATGATCTAAATTTTATCTAAATTTATCAAACTTAATCTAATGGTTCACAACACATCCCACACAAAAATAAAATCCCACCAGGGGCAGAGTCAGAAAAATATTTTAGGATGGGCACATTAATAAATTTTAATTATTTTTTTTATCAATGTTACCAATGACTTAATTCAATGTAACTATTATTTTGGTTGTAAATTTCAATTTTAGATAAAGTCTACTTTCAATCAAAGGGGTGCATTGAATTATGTCTTCAAATTAAATCTAAATAGCATTTTTCATTTTTTTTTCAATTGACCATAGAAGTTCATAAATTTATATTTACTACAATTATGCGTAAAAATGTATTAAACATAGGTTAAAAAATGATTTGTACGGAATGAACAAATAAAAAATAAAAGTAAATTAATTAAAATTTCGTATGAGACTAATTATTATCATTTTACAATTAAATCTTATTATTATTTATCATTTAAAAGAATTACAAATCAATAATATCAATAAATACCTTTTTTTTTATATACAAAATAGTAATAACAGTCTTTTATTTATTATCCTATAATTTATTACATTATGATGCTCATTTATATACAATAATAAAATAATCTTATAATTTTAAAAAATGAACGCGATATGTCTAAAAATTATTCGAACATATCTGTGTCTAAAAATTTAAGAATAATAGTAATTACGTCTAATTTGAAATTTAATTTTATATTTTGACAAAAAAAAATTCAAAATTTAATTAGTAGAAACTCAATGGTTTGTGACCATTGGATGGATATAAGACGTTATTAAACGTAGGTACTCACTATTATATTTAATATCATAATGTATTAATTTTAATAACATTATTTAAAAATTAATTATTATTTAAATAGTTGTCTATTTTAATCGATATCATAATAATACAATAATAAGGTGAACAAAATTAAATATGTCTAAATTTTATTTTAAAATATATATATCTAATGTCAAACAAAAAAAAATTTGAGGGGGGCATGTGCCCACCTTGGTCCAAGGGTGGCTCCGCCCCTGAATCTCACCAAATTTAACTATTCCCACATGTTACCCATTTTGTCTAACACACAGCTCAAACTCTTCTTCTTTCCTCCATTAACCGTCTCACCTTTTTTAGTTTCTCAAAAATTATTATCATCCTCCTTAGTCTCTCATCTCTATGTGTAGACTCCAACAAATGGACAAACCTTTTTCAGTGACGCACGACATAATTTGGAAACCCATTGAACTTACCCACTCCGACCATCCACTCTCTTCCATTCAAATTGTATTGACAGTGATCTAGCCTCTGGAAGTACTCTTGCTGGTATTCATTATTGTTTATCGTTGATATTTTTTTTGATTTAATTTAGTGGTATATGTTTTGACAATAGTTTATTGTTTTTAATTTTTAATGTTTGTGTGGTTTAGATATATTGTCATTAACTAATTGTTGTTAAATGTTACATGTTAAAAGTGTATTGTTTGTACCTTAATTTATGTTGGTTTTGTTTAATTTTTAATTTTACGTAAAATTAAAAATATTTATATTGAACACACATAAAATACATAATATCTCTAAGTTTAGTGCTTATTTTTCAAAGTTTGACAGTTTAACATTTGACTTTAATAACCGCATATACATCGTCACTACAATACGAAAATCAATACTCAAATGGACAATGTCACCATTTTTGGACATGTAAGTTATTTAGTATATCGGTTTTTTTAAAATCTTTGGTATAATATTTCATTCAAAACCATTATATACTTATTATATAATTTTTTATCATTCTTATTACAAATTGATTCATACCTAAAGTACACTGTAAGTAAATCTTTTTATCATGCATCTTTAGTACTGATGGTTGATGTTTACGTCTTATTTCTTATCAATCAATGAAGTTTAAATTGTCTTTATAATCCATAAATAAAATCATCAAGTTATTATTCATACAAAAAATAAGTCACTGCTGTATGAAAACCTATAGTTCTTAGAAAATTAAAAAAAATTCAAAGTCCAAGTTAATCAGCAATTAAAAAATAAAATAAATGACCAATACAAAAAAAAAATACCAATTACACCAACAAAAAATGTTTAAAACCAATCTAATCATTATGTGTTGAAATTATTCAAACATCATATCTTTATGTGTTGAAATTTTATAAGTAATATAGTGCCTTAAGGTACGGACAATAACTAATTTTACTATATTTATCGTTAATATATAAATAATAAAACTTAAACTATATATCATAAACTTTTTTTTTTTTTTAACAAAGTTTACGGGGGAGGGGGCAGTGAAGTTGCAGTGCCATTGGCCGCTGATTTCACTAAATATCATAGACTAAAATGGTGTTTTATGTTGTCATTAAACAAACATAAATAAATTATCACCAAAGCCAAATTAAAATTTAAAAAAATCAAAATTCTTTATTTTTTTTGATACTAAGATAAATTTGAATTTAATTGAATATATATCTATAAATTTTATTTAAATATTATGCTTAATTAAAACCTCCATAAAATGAGGCACTAATAATTCAGGGCCTAAAGCGGGGCTTCAATGGATATAAATAAAGTTTAAATAATTTATGAGACTTCTATTATTGCGAAATTTGGAGAAACTTTGACACATGCAACCATACTTTAGTAAGAAAAAAAATTATTTTTATAATTCAAACTCTTAATCGTTTGAGTCACAATAAATTAATCATATCATTATACGAAGGTTTTTCGGCTCCTTCTGCGTTCCACTAGTATGGTGGAACTAAGAGACTAAAAAGCACCAACTTTTGTGTACTTATATAACTAGTTAACCATGTACGCCCTTTTCTCTTGTGATAATGATTATCTTTCTTTTTATACTCCATATATATGTATAGTATTTGCTTAATAAATCCGTCATTTTTGTTTTTTCTTTTTCTTCGTTTTTGCCTTTTCTCAGTAAACAATGGTGGAAGAGCTTGGAGAGAAGCTGTTGGCAGGCAGCCATAAGATACCAGCACCGCCCATGACGGTCAAAACAAAATGTCGCCGTTTATTACTCTTTATGTTGTTGATTATCATTTTTGGTCTATGCCCATTCCACCCTTTGATCATCACTATCACTGATGAGTTTAGACCCCGAATTCAATGTCGATTCTCTGTCTCTCTCCCTCGTCAACGAAGAAGCAAACTGTAATGTTTCTTTCTCCATAAAAAACCCTAATGAGAACACGACAATCCGATATGAGGCAGGTCGGGTGATGGGACATTTCTGAAATATTTCAAGATGAAGACACGTGTCCTCGGTGTCACTAAATCCTTGTTACTGAAATCACGTACCCATCGGTTCACAAGTCCCTCTCCCCCGAGGTACTTGTCATAGGGATCAAGTGGCATCCAGTACGTTTACGTACCGACACGTATCCCTCGGTCTGATATGGGTACATTGGTCGCTATATGTACCTCTTCTCTCGACTCCGAGATGTACCTCCCCCCTCGGTACCGAGATGTACCCTCCGTCCAGGATGGCGTTCTCTGCTCCTGCAGAGGCTATTGATGTACAGGTCACTAGCCTAGACTAGGCTAGATTAGCTATCATGACCTCGTCTTACACAATTGATGTCAGAAAGCACAGGAAGGCAGGGGACACAGCCAATGGGGAATGGACGTGTGACATATTGTGTCACATCAAAGACAGAAAGACCGGATGCCCTTGCTGACACACGACTTGAAAAAGCAAGCATTTAATTACACCATTCCCTTGATGAGACAACATTTAATGCGGTAAGACTCGGAAGTGAAAGGTAATAAATGTCTCTAAGACTGGACATTTATTACATCCTCCCCGAGAGGAGCTCATTGAACAGTCGGCAAACCGATGACACAACCTTGGTTGCTCGGGATTTCGAGCAGTTAAAAGAGAAGACATTCCCCATAGGAAATCGTGCACACGTTACCTGTACCTAATGATCACCTACTGACCACACTGACAGCAATCATGAATTTTTGAGGTATAAATAATCTTCGCAAAAGGCAACACAATATGCAACGAAAAACCTTTGCTACAAATTATACTCAATGTTTTCTTCTTCCTCTCTCTCAAAAACTGACTTGATCGTCGGAGGGG